TGAATACTTTAACAGTAAGGCCATGATCACATATAAAACTGAGGTATAATTCTAATTATTTCTACAAGCAAAATAGAGCTCAAAGGGTTTTGAATGAATTCGGATAAAACCGTGTAGGGGTGTAGAGCGGGCTCATGTTCAAATTTAATTTACATTCACCATGGTCTTCACGGTCAGCTCAGTGATTTATTGGGCAAAAATTGACAGTTAGAAGCTATGATTCTTACAAGTGTGGTGTGTGATGTCCACATGTAAATAGAATCATTTGAAGATTTAAAAAATTACATCACATTTGACCTCTGACGTCTCCTGTAAGGTCAATAGACTGAGCTGAAGGTCAAAGTGATAATAATCCCATATTTATTAAAACTATGTTTCTTACTGTTTGTATTGACATCATATGAACATACAGGAAATGGAACATGAGGATTCTAAATATAAGGTTACTTTTGAACTATTACAAGTAAGGTCGAACTTGCATAAACACATTATAGTTTGGATCCAAATATCACAGCACATTTGACCTTTGATCTACATTTCACATCTACATTTCTTTCAAGTTGACCCCAGAATGTGTTACTTTTACTGTGCTATAAACTTTTGCACATATGCAAAATACCATACTGTTCACTTAAAAGTATACTGGTCAGAGAGTGAGCTGCCTTGGCGAACGTAAAGAGTGCTTCTTCTTGTTTTTAAAACATGTTTTGTCTTTTTTTTCTCGTTTTTCTTCAGTGTTTTCTGTTTTTCTGCAAAATCGTCGGCTACACTGCCAATCACCTGTGTCCTTTTCATTTAATTCAAATCTTTGCTGTCATATTTTGATTTTTATGGGCACATCGCTGTGAATTACGACTGAACAAAATCTCACAACGTCATAAAATTATTATCACAACCAGATGTTTCCCTCACGAGCTGCTAGAGAGCGAGAAGCAACAGCCACTGCATTTACATTCACCAGGTGGACACTAACATCGCCCCAAATGAATCCAAGCGAATAACAGCATGTCTGCTCATATCGCACCAGCAGATTTACCTTCATCTGATGATATTTCACTGTTATGTTTGAAGCACGGTCCAGCTGTTGGTTAACACAGACTATAAAACTGTATAACGGTGATGTGCTAGCACTGATTAATCTACTATCGGCACTGTTCTGTATGAGTTTACATTTTACAGTTTGCTTCTTCATGCAACATTACAAAGTGTAATTTCATTTAACATTCAAACAGTTCATGACTTGTGTAACTTAGTTCTTGTTGGTACAAGAAAGACTGAAATCTGCATGTAACCTATGGAAGCTGGCTCACGACCCAGAGGGTCAAGTAGACGGTGATGCAACTGTAATAAGACGTGTAATTATCAGTGTCATGACAGCATTTTTGGCCAAATTAATGACCTTTAGTGACAATGTATGAGCTAACTATTAGTACTGTGGTTAGATTTTCCCCTCTGTGTCATTCAGACTGAGCAACAATCTATGCTGGTGATACTGGACACTGCAGATGAAGCTCAGCTCAGGCTTGTTGTTTTATTGTCTGACACAAGATGTGTGTCTTGACTGTTCATCACAAACACACACACAAAAGCAGAAGTTTTCCTTTGGCTTTTCTTTCACTCCCTTTCCAATCCAAATTTATTTAACGCACATGGCAGCACGGTGGCACGGTGGTTAGCACTGTTGCCGCACAGCAAGAAGGTCCTGAGTTCAATTCCAACATCAGGCCGGGGTCTTTCTGTGTGGAGTTTGCATGTTCTCCCCGTGTTTGCGTGGGTTCTCTCTGGGTACTCTGGCTTCCTCCCACCGTCCAAAGACATGGAGCTTGTGGGGATAGGTTAATTGGATAACCCAAATTGTCACTATGTGTGAATGAAAGTGAGTGTGAATGGTTGTCTGTCCCTATGTGTTGGCCCTGCGACAGACTGGCGACCTGTCCAGGGTGTACCCCGCCTCTCGCCCTATGACAGCTGGGATAGGCTCCAGCGCCCCCCGCGACCCTGAAAAAGAATAAGCGAATGGATGGATGGGCATTTAAAGACGACACATTGGAATCACACACACACACCGTAACATGTGGAGGTAACTCACATGTGGAGATTTACACCAGTGTAAAGGGCATTAAGATTACCATTAAGTGTCTGACACACTCTGGGATCATTGCTCAGAATGTCCTTTAATGTAATTGTTTTTACTTTTTTCTGTATTTTGGTCAGACTCAGCAGTGGCATTAAATCCTAGAAACACCAATTATAATCCATACCACTGAACAGTGATTATTTCGGGTCCATAACAACAATGAATACTCAATATTTATTTTATTGCAGCCAGCAGACCCTGCCGGTGTTTAGAGAACAGAGTTTTTATAGCCTTGTTGTTAATGTTGACATGTTTTATTTGAGTTGCTGCTAGTTCTTTTTTCTCTCTTTCTTTTCCTTTTTTTGTTTTTTTGCTGTCACATTTAAAAAATGAAGAAGTGCTTCTAGATGCAGACGTCAAAAGTCTGAAGCTTGTCGATGTTGTGACTTTGGCTCTCAGTTGTTAAACGGAGGGTCAGCTATCACGATTAATCCAAAGAAATATGCCTCATGATCTACTGCAAACTATAAAGCTTCTTTCTGTTTTATGGAGCAGTTCATAGTCTGGCAGGGGTATAAAGGTATTTTAAATGTCCAAACTGAGCTCTGTCAAAGCGAATTAACAACCCGAACTCACACTAAATAAAAGATCTGAGCAAATTTAGTCACCAGTCAAATGACTTGACTTTAAATTTTAAAACTGCAAATCTTTGATTCCTTTAGATCCTACCAGGCTTTGGGTGCGCCTATTCAAAAAAAAAAAAAAAGGGGGGGGGCTCTCAGCACTAGACTGCTGCGTCCAAAGCACCATCATCTCAAAAGACATTACACTACAAGATGAACCATTTAGCATGGGTCATAATAGCAGTTTGTGGAGAAACAGCTGGAGGCAAACATGTAAATCTGTTTGCAGCTTTCCTTTTACAAACTGTGGCTCCATCTCAAATACTCATCTTCCTCATGTAATCACACATCAGCCAGCAGCAGCTCCCCTTCCGGACAACCTACAGAAATAGCATCAGTACTCTGTGGCACAGGGAGGTGCCAATGTGTACCGTTATATTTGAAACTACAGTATGTGGGTATTACCATGGAAACTGCAGAGAGCTGTCCAGATTACATACTGCATCTTGTTGAGGCTTGTGGTTCCAACGTTTCAACAACTAAGACTTTGTTTTTTACACTAATGCACCAGAAATTTGCTTCCAGCTATTTCTCTTTGGGTACCATTAAACTCCCTAATGTGACTTTTAAAGAACTGTTATGATATGATTGTGAGTGCTCATAATAGGCTATTGTGGCTTAATAATGCTCATACTGTAGGTGAAATGTTCACCCTACCCCGGAGCTCGTGCTGTGTTTTCGCAGCGTACTGCACCCTGGGGTGAATGAACTTGCGACCTCACTGAGGGAATGGCATGTTAAAAAGCTTAAATCCCTCTTGTGTGATTTCCTGTTGCACTGTGGGAGAAAATAACTTGGGTCAAAGTCCATTTTCTTAGACTGCACCAGAGGGGACAGAATAATAATGACAGCAGATTAAAATGAAGACTTAATATATCCATAAAAAACAAACGAGAAAACAAAATCTTTACATAAATGATGTCATTATTCTTTAACCGTAAAGGGGAGGGCCAATTTAACGGTTAAATCCGTTCAGCCAATAGCGTGCAGGCGGTGGCACCCGAAAACACTGTGCGATGTTTAAGTGCAGTTAGACTTTTTTAAGCTCAGCATTGGGAGAAGAATGCAGTGTCTCACTCTCTGCCGAAAGTGTCTTATTTTCGCCAAAGGGATGCAGGAGTTTTTGTTTTTGTTTTGTTTTTGCAGTAAGGTAAAGTGATGAGAACCACTAATACAGCTTGCATCACTGCTTGTTCACATCTGAAAATAGGGGCAGCCACATTGAGTATTATGTTGCATGGAGTATACGTTGACACATTGTATAAGATTTGGCTTTTGCCTGCATTGCCAAATGGTGTAGTTTGTAAATTTATAAGAATTTTATATTGCATCTTCATTCCAGTGCAAAAATTGCAAACATTTTAGAATCTCTGATGTGAGAATTTCATGCTGTTCTTTACCATCTACTAAATAAAAGAAGAAACAATGGAAATGGCATTTCTACTGTCTTACACACAGCACTGTGGAAAGCTGTTTCCACCAGAAGCGTTCCTGTTTGTTTGTTTGTTTGTTTGTTTGTTTGTTTGTTTGTTTGTTTGTTTGTTTGTTTGTTTGTTTGTCAATCAATCAGTCAATCAAGGCTTTATTCGCCACGTGCAGGTTGCCCTGCAGTGAAATAGAATCCCCCCCGACTTTACACACACAACACAGACATCACATGGGGATACAGGCCGGAGATCGGTAGCGTTACAGAAAAAACACTGAAATATACACTACAATGGGAAAGTTCAAGAGGAAAAAAAGAGACCTCTGCTCATGCTGGGCTCCTGGGAGGACAGCATGAGGACAGGAAACATTCGCGCTACCATTCCAGCGCGGGCTCAGACCCGCCGAGTTCCCAGGAGGGAATAAGCATCGAAGGCGTTTGGAAAGGGAGGGGGGATGAGTGTGTGCATATCAGTGTATATGTATGTGTGTGCGTGTTTGTTTGTTTGTTTGTTTGTTTGTTTGTTTGTTTGTTTGTTTGTTTGTTTTGCCACCCATAAGTCAAAATTTCAAGTCGTTAATTCAAAGTTTCTACCTTATAACTCCAAATTTCAATTTGCTCTTCCCATTCGTCTTATTTTCTCAGAACCTTGAGTTAGACAGTCGATTTTGTGACAAATTTGTGATAATTATACATAATTATGATAGTTATAGCTTGCTTTTGTTTTTCAAGTGGCGAAAACAAGCTTGTTGACAAAATAGCAGGTAGTCGAAACACTCCTGAACCTGAAGCCAAAAGAACTTTGAGTCTCCGAGCGGTCTTTGAATGCACCTGAGAGGGAGGGTCTAGTCAGTTATCTGTAGGCTGCTTCTCGGCCGTTCACTCTGATTACGGCTCCTGAGGAAAAAGGGCGACCACAGGAGGGGAAACACGGAGCTCTTCGCTACTTTGAGAGGATACGTCTGAGAGAGGTAAGGAAATAAATGCTTCTATATTTACGCTTACTCGGCTGGAGCTCCGAGAGCCGTGTAGAGTGAATAAAGCGCTTGAGACTAAAAGGAAAAGTAGTTAAGAAGCACCGCTTCGAGTGGAGAGATAACCTTAGTCATTTAAGATTCCAGCAGCACCTCGGTGAGTTGAAACCTGTTACTTGTTTAGAAGTTTTCCAGCAGTCTTTAAGGTTATTATTGTTCGTTTATTAGTATTATTATGTTTAAAATGGGGCAAAGGAGAAGGACACACGGAGGGCACACCTGTTTGTTTTTCTCCAACCATATCCTAAAGAAGATGTTGTTGCCTTTCTACCCACTCGATACTTGCGCAATTGAACTAAATGGACTTTAACTGTGGAGCCTTAGAGCCCGTCTTTAATTGCTGTGAGAAAGTTCTTTCTGTTTGAGAACCTGTTTGTCCAGTAAGCTGGAACAAAATGTTTTTTTGTTTTTTCTTTATTTCTTTTAGGCAGGAATACTCGGAAAGCTCAATTATTCGAATACATGATACCGACTGTGTGGCTTTTAAAAATGTAATTATTAATATTTGGTGACAGAAGTCTGTCCTTTTCACCTGAACTAAAATAAAAAACCCCAAAAGACTACATTCGTCTGTCCCGAGGAAATTCCTCTCTGGCAGTCACCACACCCTTGTTGTGCTGCTCGGCTTCTGTAGCGCAGACCCTCACATCTCAACAGCGACTTGTTCCCTTGTCTTGGCATGTTCACCATAACAAAACTGCACTGCCGGTATTTGGGTCTGCGCCAGAGTCAAATCTGCAAAACTCTGCTATTCTTCAACTCAGCTGCTCCCATCTTTCGAGGCTGACGCGCACACTCAGGATGTTGCACGTGAAGAGTCCTCGAAAACGGGTCTTCTCGGTTTGTCCACTGCGCGCGCGTGTGTGATTGCAACGTCAATATTTTTGTGGAAGAATGATGTAATATATATATATATATATATATATATATATATATATATATATATATATGCATTTTTTTTTGTAGCAGAACTGCTGACCCAGCAGGTAGTGGACAGAAGTGAAAGTGTTGCCCAGTGTAACAAGCAAAACAAAATCAGTGCAGTGCAGGGAAATGTAAAGGAAATCCCCGATCTGAGGTATTAAAGGATGTGGCCGTGTTATGAGATGTAATCCACAGTGTTAGGGCTGAGAAAGTAGGGATATTGTTGTAGACGATGGAGTGGATATACTATTGAATGCACACGGGAAAGAACACACACACACACACTCAGAATCCATACAGATATTATGAAGTTAAAACATAGCATTAATTAATGCATTGCAAGGTTTTCCGATAATGCGCTGGATAAACATGATAACCCAGATTACACATATTTCTTACTGTTTATATTGCATCATTAATCATAGCAAAGATTCCACAAAGAGTTTAAGCAGTGTAAATATAATAACCAGCTACAAAGGCAGTAAAGGCATCCTTAGCGGTATTTTCATTACTGATTAAGCTGAGAGTTATTTTCTTGATTAATCGTTTGGTCTGAAAAATGTTGCATGCAAAGAGCCATGTTGATGCTTATTGTTTTTGCTTGAATGAGGATGATAAATCAAACTTAGCTGCTAATTAATTTTCTGTCGATCGACTGGTTACCCAATCCACTTATTAATCAGAAGCATAGACAGTGTAAAAGAGGGATATAGCTTCTGGGTTTGAGAAGTGCCTTGAACTGTCTTTTTTTGGGGGGGGGGTTCATAGTGAGCAGGGGGCGACTCTTCTGGCTGCAGAGAGACTTTCGGTTGTATAGACATCTATGGGAAATAAGTCCTCGGCTCCCTTCACATGTGACCTCAGTTAACACTTTTTTTTATCTTTATGGTCTTGGTTGCTAGTTTCATTTTATACTGAATAAAAAAAAATGGGTTGGATAATATGGTCGTTATTAGAGTCGCAAGTGAGGATTAGTCGCAAATCATTAGCCAATGAGAAAATTTCCCATTTCCTCCAGTTGCTCATCAGTTTTGTTTACGGCAGAAAAGCTCGACTTGAGGGGGAGTGAAAATAAAATGGACAACTACACGTCCATTAGGCCTTAACTATTACTGGAACAGGTCTTGTTCTGTGTATAGGATTTAAGTTGTCCTAAAATACTCAGAGGACTTTGTTTATTTTGTATTTCCTATAAAAATAAGACGTTGTCTCCAACTGATGGAACTGCCAAAGATCCATTTATTATTTATTTTTTTTAGTATGTGACCTTTTCTCGTCGTTTTCCAGTATTGAGGCCAGACAGACAGCTGAATAGCTTTGTAGGTCATGAAAGCTTTCATGAAAGACTAATGTGGATCAAAAGCTGCATGTATGCCTTTATAGCCAGAGGTCCTTTCACCCTGGTGTTTGCACCTCGTTTTGTTCCTCTTGGCATTTGACTGACCTGCTCTGCTGTATTTTTACTTTTCAACGATTGATTGCGGCCACCTAACCTTTAGGAAGCACACTACTAGCACTCGATAAAAACGTAAAACGCAACGATTTAGGAAGTTGGTGCTAAAAAATGGGAGGGTTTGTTTAGATTTGAGTGCTGAGATTTGATCTTTTTTCCTTTCTATGGGGAGTTCGAAGGTTGTTAAAACCATAGGTGTTTATCAGCTGATGTGCTTATAGATCTTCAAAGTATTAGAATGGACCACCTTCAAATAGTAGCGATTTCCAAGAAAGCCAGTCTTCCTGGAAACTGAAAAACTGGAGCTTGTTTTACACACTGATGAAGCACACATGTTTTTCAGTTTTCTAGTCATTTGTCTGCAATCGACAAGCATGGCTGCATGGAAGATTGCATCCGTTGGATGTGGGGTGTACCACACATGGGCAGCATGCAGACAAAAAAAGAGAAAAAAAAAGTCTGGGAGTGTTTCCTGTTTGGATCTTGGGGTTTGAGGTTTCAGGAAGCCTTAAAAGGATAATGTAAACATTTTTTTTTCTCCTGACAGACTTCAGAAGTACTGCTCTCTCAGACTCTTGTAGCCTGTTCCATGTTGAGTCAAGATTCCCTTTGGGAAATTGCTTGGATCGACACTGTATTTGCTCCAGCAGAAAGTTTGGCTGCTCTTTGGTAAATGCTTTCAGTTGGTGTCACCAGTTATCAGTTCTGATTTCTGCTGGTTTTTCCCCGTCTTTTGTAGTACTGACTGCATTAAAAAAGCCATTTTAAAGAAGTCCTCTTTACACTGCATTGCCAAAAAAATATGGACTAATCTTGAAAATCAATAATGAACATAATTGTTCTTTGCAACCCTCCGTTTATATTCTTTCAATCCTAATAGTTGTGCAATTGGCGCTTCAGTTTTTAGCCTAATTGGACTGCAGCTATTAACTGGATACATCTTTTCAGACAGTGTAAAAAAATGTTTTTGATTATTCTTGTCAGCATCTAAAGATCATGCCTTTGTAGTTGGTTTGTAGTTCTTTTCGCCTTCAATTACTTCCAGCTGTTGATGGCTAAACCTAATAAGACTTGATGAGCTATTTCAGAGGATTCAGTGCTACATTCGATAAAATGCACTCGCTTCTCACACAGCTTCACAGGCTGACAGGACAGATGAGAGACACAGTTGGAGGATTGACTCCATACAGGCTGTGCACATGTGTGTCAGCTTTCGTTTTCAGATTTCATTTGTGCTGTGTGTGTGAATCAGAAAGAAGCAGGGATGCGGCGCCCTAAGGATATGCAACATTAGCTCCCTGATGGTGACATCACACTGCAACACACAGGGAGAACGCGAGGGATGAGATGAGGGCTGATTGAGAACAAGAGCCTGGAGGAGGATGGGTAGAAAAGAGGAGCTAAAAGAGCAAACAGAGTTAGGAACAGGGTGGAATCAAGTCGGTTCCTTCACCACGCCGAGCTGAGGTGGTGCGTGTCTGTGCATATGCACACTTTATAATCTTGGAAAGCGAAAATGCATTCCTCATTTCTATCCAAGTCCTGATTAGCTATTTTCCCAAGACAGCCCATGACTAATTCAAAGATTTGTTTATTTTATACTCATGGAATATTAATCAAAGGCCTCGTTGCTGCACTTTAATGCTTTTAAGTTTCTCCATATCGTTTGCTGTTGCAGCAACTCGTGTTCTAGTTTTGACCACAGTGCTTCGCTTTCCTCCCTCCAGCTTTCTGACTTTTGTTTGTACTGCAACCAAGAGGCGGGTGAAGGGATGATTCTGTGTGATATTTCTCTCTTTCGTCCTCTGCTCTCAGCCGAGTTGTGTGCACTGTGATAAATTGGGTTGGGTGAGTCTCAATGGCTCTGTCCTATTTTGGGCTCCAGCTAGGTTCTCTGACTTTAGCTCCTTCCCTGGCCTGGATTTTGAGCAGTCACTTCTGCTCTTAAGTTTGATTCAACCTTGAAAATGTTAGCTTGGCTGACCAGTATATTAGGATATACTCTAGAGATAAACATCTAAGTAGCTTGGAAGGAAAGTGACTCAACATGAAGACATTTTACCTCTAATACAAGATGCTTCTTCAGTTCAGAACTGAGAGGGGAAAATGTCTTTACAAAACTTGAAGAAGTCCAGTCAATTTCTTTCCTAGCTCTTACTACCATGACCTGGATGACTGACGAACTACATGGACTCGAGGGATAAAAGTTCTGGGGCTGCCTTCACATTTTACCAAGAGGAGGTACTCATCCTGGAAACCCGTGCCATAAAGTGGCACATGTTTTTGTGCTGATGTTAAGAATGGTTTAGATGGTCTGCCCCTTCACGGCTGAGTTGCTGTTGTTCCTTAACACTTCCACTTTGCAATAAAATCACTCGCAGTCGATCGTGGAATATCAAGGTGGGAAGAATTTTCATAATCTGAGTTGTTGAAACAGTGGCATCCTGTTATAGTACGCCACTCAAATTTAGTGAGCTCATTATAATGATGTGTTCTTGCAGATTGCATGGCTAGGTGCTTGGTGAATGTGAATGTTGGGTATTACAGGTGGGTTTGTTTT